TATATATATATATATATATATATATATATATATATATATATATATATATATATATATATATATTTGAAGTAGACCTGCTAAGAGTTTACTACACATCAAGTTCTTCCCCCCAGAAAAACCTTCATCTTCTTCTTCTTCTTCATTCCTTTATGTGTATAACGAAAATGGCGCTCCATGTTGCAGAGATTGAATCAAATCCTCCCCTATCGCGATCCTCGCGATCTAAAACTTCAACATCTAAACTCTCCGATGCAAATTCGTCTACCTCTTCCCCTTACAAGGATTCCGAATTCATATTCTCCAATTCCACCAACAAGTTTTCTTCAGGTTCCTTTTCGAGCCTTCACGAATCTCTTCCTGAATCTCCTCGAATCTTTGATTTCTCTGAAATTAACGCCGCCACAAATAATTTTCTGAACAAGCGATACTCTGCCTCGTCCTCCACGCCTTCATGGCGTTGCACGCTTCGTGGTAAGGATGTCATGATCTTCCAACGCAAGTTTCATCGCAAAATAAAGCTCCAGGAATTCAGAGATCGCTTCTACGAGATTTGTCGAAGTCACCACACGAGTATAATCGAACTTCTTGGCGCTTCAATTTCTGGAGAATATCTCTATTTGGTTTACAATTTTGTAAATGGAGCGAATCTCTCCGATTGTTTGAGAAATTCCAGAAGCCCTAATTTCACTGTTTTATCCACTTGGATTTCCAGAATGCAAGTCGCTACAGATTTGGCGCAAGGCCTCGATTATATCCACAACAAATCAGGACTAAACATAAGCCTATCGCATAATCACATAAAGAGTAGCAGTATTCTAGTAACAGAGCCTTTGTTTAACGCTAGGATTTGTCACTTCGGTGCAGCGCAGCTCTGTAATGAGGTTGATTGGAACAAAACAGTTGAAAAACCGACGAATTTGAGGTGTAATGGCGAAATTTCTACGGATTCAATGAATAAAGTACAGATAAAAGGGGTTAGAGGATACATGGCACCAGAGTACAAATCCAGCGGCGTAGCAACTCCAATGACCGACGTGTATGCGTTCGGCGTGGTGATTTTAGAGCTATTGTCTGGAGAGGAGCCTTTGAAGTTCAAATTTGACAGAAGAAAAGGCAATTTCGTTAGGGTTTCTTTGATCGAGAGCGCCATGGCAGTAATCGAAGGAGATAATGACGAGGAGCCTCAAGGCGGTGTAGCCCTAGAAGTAGGAGGAAGGTTGAGAAGGTGGGTGGACCGTAGGTTAAAGGACTCTTTTCCGATACACGTGGCGGAGAAGGTCACGCGATTGGCTATTCATTGTGTTGACGTGGATCCATCTAAGCGCCCTAATATGGCTCACGTGGCAAGCAAGATTTCCAAGCTGTATTTAGAATCGAGAATTTGGTCAAATAATCGGGCAATTCCTGCCGGGTCGTCGGTTTCTCTAGCTCCTCGCTGAACCAGCTTGATATAGATGTAACTCAAAAGTTTGATTAATTTCTAGTTAAAATTTAAATAAATTTAGAATTACATCATTGCACACCTCATCAGCGTTGACTCAATAAAATAATTCAACGAATATCAACCACCGATTATAATCTTCAATTGTTTATAAACCCATCTAATTACAGAAACGCATTAAAAAAATAGATTAGAAATATCCACATTAAGACTTTTAATTTATCTAAAGACATCATCTACACCGATGTGTTTATGGTAAAATCATTGCTTAATTGCTCTTCCTCATCTAATCACCTAATCTATCAAGAGGACCAACCCAAAAACTTGTCAACCCAAATAATCAATTCGTAGGTGCGTCGCGGTGTGGGGCCTAGGAGCATCTAGAGTTGGCTCATATTGGGCTTCAATTGAAGACGTGGGCCTCTTGGGCCCAATGAGAATCGCGAGTAAAGAATCATACAAACTAGGATGGGTCCCGCCTCGAACTCTAGAAGATTCTCTATTTAGATAGGGAATAAAGAAGAGAGTGAAGATTATTTTTTCTTGGTTAGATAAATCGGGCTGGAGACGGGATTGTATTCTTCGTATCTATTCCCACCAATTCACTATATCACACGCACCAATACACATTTATGCTTTTTAAATATATTAAAATATTTAAATTGGTTAATTTTAACATACACATCTATGCTTTTTAAATATATTAAAATATTTAAATGGGTTAATTTTAACATTTTAATATATTCTAATTTTTTTTTAATTGATAAATATTATGTTATAATATTAAAATTAAAATTTTTAAAAATCAATCCCTATAAAAATGAACGAAAAATTTTACTTAAATATAAAATGAATTTTTTTTAACATGGTTTGATAGAATAGTTTTAATGTAAGTAAATTTCTAATATGTATATATATTTTATTTTGGAAATGAGTGGTAAATTAAATGGCATGGGTATAGTCATAGGACATTATTATTGTTTATACAATTATTACCACCGTCCTTCCTTGTCGGTCTAAAAGCACAAACGCAACCTCTTTTTTACTAAGCCTACGCTCTTTCCACTGACTGGGCTTCTTCTTGCCTAGGCCCAACTCAAATCCAATCAACCCACTCCTTAATTTAATAATATTATATATAACCACCAAAATAAACATAATATTATATTCAACATAAGGTGAGTAGTTATTTATTTATTATTTTTACCACTTATATTCCAAATAAACATAACTGGTAATTGATATATCTTCATTTTTTAAAAACAAAATTAAAATTTTATAATACTCAGATCTATATAAATTAAGTTATTATAGATAACACACCAACAAAATAAAATAATAGATATAATTGACGTGTCATAATATAGTAAAACACGGTGGAAAATATAATTAGCTGGAAATTTGGAAAAAAGTAAGTAAAAAATAAAGATGTTTGTCATGTTTTATAATTAAAGGAAAAAAGAAATAGTGAGGAAGGGCGAAGGATGTGAATGGTCGGTCTTTTCTTTTTTTCTTCTTTTGACCGCTAATGTTATCTACGTGGCATTTCGAACCCGTGTTCAACGTCGTATATATATATATATATATATTATATAAAATATTTATATGATTTATTTTTTTGGATTCCACTTCGCGAAACACACTCTGTACAGCGATGGAACTTGGAGCATCTTTGTTCTATCTCGATCCAATCGAAGGTGAATGTGCAATGCTATCCGTTTTTCCCTAATTCATTTTCTTCTACTTTCTTTTTCTGAATCTCATATTGTCTCCCGCGAATGGTAAGATTCTCTCTATTTTTCGCGGTTTCGCTTCGATTGCTCATATTGGAGCGTTTGGTTACTAACAAAATGCGAGGCTATCAGTAACTTCGTTTGAGCAAGAATCATGTTCAAGTCACTTTTAGCTTAAAATCAGAGCAACTCCGGAGCAATGATGGATTGTGGATAATTTTGTCCTGAACATGATACAGTGACTGTGTTACTTCTCTTTTCTTTTATCGTTTTATTGTTTTTATTTTCTTCTTGTTCCTTCTTGGTTATCAATTGCTTTGACTAAGTTTCCTCTCGATTCCTTTTTCTTCTTCCGTTAATTTCGTCTATTCTAATTTTAAGTGATGACCTTCTGTGAGTTTGAGCCTACTTTTCCAATTCTATCTGTTATTTCACAATGTATGAATGTGCTGGAGTATTTGTCTATTGTGGCTGCTGTAACTGTTATCGGAGAGTGATTTTTATTGGTTTCTTTTTGTTTATGAGTCCTGTGAATATTTAAAATGTGTTGATTAGAGGATCGATGCAGATAATGTCACAACTCTCTCACGCCTTAATTATAATCTTCAAATCGTCGATTGTACGGAACCTATATATGGCTCCTTATTGTGTTATCTAACTCACTCTCACCTCAATGTAGTAATTGAATTGCTCGTTACTTGGATTAGTTTTCTGCATATAAATGTTACATCTGTAACTGTGTTAGTAGATTGGGTTTTTAGTCGGTTTTTTTTTTTTTTTTTTTTGTTGACATAAAATATTAACAAACGACTTTCTGCAGGTTGAAGGCCACGTTAAAATTTCTGCTCCAATAAACAGAAGGATGACTTTGTATTTCTCTGCTTTCTGTTAGACAAATCTCTATTTGCACTTCCGGGGGGTGCTCATTACAGGTACAACTCTAAGTTCTGAAATGTGGAAAATAGCATTCTTTGATTTATTGGAGGGAATTAGTGGGAAAAGGTATTTCTTATTTAATATTTTGTTTTTTTTTTTTTTTTGTGTGTGTGTAATCCAATGGTTCATTCTGATTTAGGAATTTTTATTTTGAGATGATTACTCACGAGCAAGATCCTGATGTTGTTCGATGGGGCCTTGAACTCTTTGATGGAGACCCATTTTCTAATTACGGATATTGTGGAAACGTTTCTCATCATGAGATACAATACTATCAAGGACAATGTTTTGATGTAGATAATTATGACAAGGCATGCAACATAGAAAGTAATGAGCTTATTGCTCAAACCCTCCAAGAACTCTCACAGCTTGCGATCACAGAGCCTGTATCCTTTGTTGAAGGGTTAGAAAATTTACAACTTTCCGCGTGTCCGCAAGATTGGCTTAGTCTATCCATAAATAGCTATAGTTCAGGTATGTGCCATCGAAATTAAAATTTTAGTAGAACATATTCGAGGTTATATGCCTGGCTTCTATTCTCTAATTTTAAAATTAGTATGTGTTTTTCAGAGCATAATAATGATCTGGAAGAGGAAGATGATAGTTCATGTACTATCCCTGACGAGACATCCTACAGTGGGGATGACTGGTCATATTCTTTAGAGCTGACTGATGAGTATGCCCTTGATGGAGAAGTGGGAAAAAGATTGAATCAGATGGTCTCAATTCCTGTAAGTTTCTCATTGAATGAGAGCTCATTACTTAAGTGCTATGAGATGCCGGGCATATATCTTCAGCTGAGGGTGGTTGATTTCCCAGTTAATTGTATTTCTGGGAGGAACCTTCCTTGCATCGGTCAGATTATTAGAAATCTCTCCTGGTTCTCATGTTTATCTGTCGTAGTTTAGCCCTTCTGTTGAAATCTTTTTTTTTTTTTTTTTTTTTA